TTTTTTCCCCCTCATTTTCTTGACAGGAAACTTTAAAGCACAAAAGTTTTCAATTTTGATGACATCCAATTTATCTACTTTTTTCTTTTTTTACTTGTGCTTGTATTTTTTTTTTTAAGAAATTGTTGCCCAATCCAAGGTCATGAAAATTAAGGCCTATGGTTTTTTCTAGTAGTTTTATGATTTTAGTTCTTACATTTAGGTCTTTGATCCATTTTGAGTTAATTTTTGTATATGGCGTGAGTTAGGGATCCAACTTCATTCTTTTGCGTGTGGATACGTTGTTGTCCCAGAACCATTTGTTGAAGACTGTTCTTTTCCTGTTGAATTGCCTTGGCACACTTGTTGAGAATCAGTTGGTTACAGGTATCTGGGCTTTCAATTCTATTCCACGATCTCTATGTCTATCCTCATGCCAGTACCGCAACTGCAATTCCAGAACTGTAAAGTGAATTACATTGAAGACAGTCTTATTCTCAAATTACTTGATAATTCAAGAGATTTGTCAGTTTGGATTTTCTTTCATACCTTAATGAAAAAGAAGCCTTTGCATCAAAGTCTCCCATCTAAAATAACTAAATTATATGCATAAATCTAAATTTAAATGCTCACCTGCATGAACCTTTTATATAATTCTACTTTTACATTGATGATATGGGCTTTGGCAATTTCTCTGTGTATTCTATGAAGCAGTTAAAAAGTCAGTTATGAACTGAGACCTTCAGTTTTTTATTGTTAGAATGCTTAATGTTAATTTAAAACCTAGTGTACAACTTCAAGCAAAAGCCTTCAAATTATTAATTTTAAAGAAATATGTATTTGTTATGCCTTGTGAACTTAGACAAACGATTTTAAATGTCTCTATTCTAAATGTAAGAATTCTCAGAAGTGAAAAATCTCTCACTCAGGCAATAGAATCTGTTGATTCAATTTTAGTCTTTGTATTTCTGTTACTGGCAATCTTTTTTTTTTTTTTTTTTTTTTGCGGTACGCCGGCATCTCACTGTTGCGGCCTCTCCCGCTGCGGAGCACAGGCTCCGGACGTGCAGGCTCAGTGGCCATGGCTCACGGGCCCAGCCGCTGTGCGGCATGTGGGATCTTCCTGGACCGGGGCACGAACCCGTGTCCCCTGCATCGGCAGGCAGACTCTCAACCACTGTGCCACCAGGGAAGCCTACTGGCAATCTTAATAGGAAAAAAAAGTTTAAAAAACATTCCCTAGGTAAAAAAATATGGTAGTAAGGTGAAGCTCACATGATGGGGAAAGAATTCTCTTGAACTGCTGTAGACAGTTGTATTTGGTTCTTTAGCTCATAAAGAAAGTTGGATTTTTTCCCTCTAAGTAAACAGATCACAAACTCTTTCCTGGTCTTGACAAAGGGGAACCCTTGGCACAATGTTTCTGTTGAGATCCCTTGTTGAATTGTGCATAGATCCCCTATTATCTCTGAAAGGATTTTTGTGATTATTTAGACAGTGCTAAATCTTTGAAAAATCTCTGCTCCCTATGTTTTATTGGTCATGCTTAAGAACTGTGTGATGGTTAATTTTATGTGTCAACTTGACTGGGCTAAAGGATGCCCAAAATGCTGGTAAAACATTATTTCTGGATGTGTCTGTGAGGGTGTTTCTAGAGGAGATTAGCATTTGAATCAGTAGACTGAGTAAAGAAGATCCCCCTCACCAGTGTGGGTGGGCATCATCCAATCCATTGGGGGCCTGACTAAAGCAAAAGACAGAGGAAGGACCTTTCTCTTTGAACTGGGACATCCTTCTTCTTCCGCCCTCAGACTTTGGTGCTCCTTTTCTTGGGCAGGACTGGGACTTACATCATTGGTTCCCCTGGTTCTCAGCCCTTTGGGCATGGACTGGGCCTCCAGCTTCTAGATGGCAGATCGTGGTTCTTCTTAGCTTCCATAACCTCAGGAGGCAACACTTCAGAATAAATCTCTTTCTGTATATGTATATATGTCCTATTGGTTCTGTTTCTCTGAAGAGCCCCAACTAATACAAACTGTTTTGTGGCAGCCAGTCCAGGACAAGAGGCACACTTGTCCAAACTCTGATAAACCCCAGCAGCTCCATGTGAGTCTTAGTTCAGTTTCAGAAATTCAGATGTATCTGTTCACCAAGAGGTTAACAGGTGAGGAAGACTTGATTCTTCATAACCAAGTGATAAAGGATTTTATTTTATTTATTTATTTATTTATTTTTTGCGGTACGCAGTCCTCTCACTCTTGTGGCCTCTCCCGTTGTGGAGCACAGGCTCCGGACAAGCAGGCTCAGCAGCTATGGCTCACGGGCCCAGCCGCTTCACGGCATGTGGGACCTTCCCGGACCGGGGCACAAACCTGCGTCCCCTGCATCGGCAGGCGGACTCTCAACCACTGCGCCACCAGGGAAGCCCAAGGATTTTATTTTTGAACCACAAAACTCAATGACCATTCACTGAGGGCTTCATCCCATCCAAAAATCATAGGCAACGGTTGTTCCACTTTCTGGTGGCTATTTCTCAGGAGATGAAGTGTCAGGTCATAGTGATTCAGTGAACATATAACTGAAACAAACAAAGAAGAGGTACAGTTAGGGGACTTTAAAATAAAATTTAAATTATTATTTCAAGAATATTCCTGTTTAAATAGTTGAGACTCTACATATGATGTCGAGGAATCCTGAGAAGTTCTGTTTCTGCCAAACTCATGATCGACATCACTCATCTCTCTGTGCTTCTTCTAGCCTGATTTTTTTTTTCATTTTACCATTATTTCAGATTGATGTTACAGTATCCAGTATACTAAATGTGTTAGAGGGAGCAAAAGCACCTAACCTGAATCTAGTCATCAGGAAACACCAGAAAACCTGACACTTGAGGACATTTTACAACATAACTGGCCTGTACTCTGCTGAAATGTCCAAGTTATGGTATGTAAGAGACAGAAAGAGACACAGACTCAGGAACTGTTACAGATTAAAGAAAACTGAAAGGACAATGACATACAAATTATGATCTTAAATTTTCTTTTGCAATAAAGGACCTTATTGGAACAACTGGTGAAACTGGAATAAGATCTACAGATTAAGTCCTAACCCTAATAGTGCCGTATCAATGTTAAGGTCCTAATTTTGATCATTGTTCTGTGGTTATGTAATAGAATTCCTTAACTTTAGGAAACACACTAAAGTATTTAGGGGCTATTACATCTGCAATTTACTCTTAAACAGATCAGAAAAAATTAAATATTGAGAGAAAGAAAGAGAAAAGGATAAAATCAGTGTAGTAAGATACTAACATTTGGGAAATTTGGTTGAATTCTTTGTACTATTCTTGCAACTTTTAGGTCTGAAATCATGTTTAAAAAAGCTTTAAATTAGTGGAAGATTTTTAAAGTCTCCAAATTATTTTTAAAAATGTCTATTGTACAGTATTCAAGAATTACTGTGCACTAAAAAAAAAAAAAAAAGAGGCAGGATAGACTAGCAGTTAAGTGAGTTGTCTGGAGAAGGATGCCTGGATTTGAGCTCTCTCTGTCACTTACTAGCTGTGTGATTTTGGGTAAGTTACTTAACTTCTTAGTTTCTCTACCTGTAAAACAGGGATGATAATGATGGAACCTACTTCACAAGGTTGTTATAAAATTTGAATGAGTAAATATTTGCAAAGGCCTTGGAACAGTGCCTGAAACAAAGTCTTATATATGTGTTTGTTAAATGAATAAGTCTAGAAAAGCACTTCAGCCTTAACGGTACCAAAATCACCTTTAGAAATAACAGTATTTTAAACTTAAAAAAAATGGTAAAGTTTTTCTAGAGACAGTCGGTTTGGATTCTTATTAGTCTCTTCTTTGATCAGCTTGGGATTCCTGTTGCTTCCTTTGATAATCTCTAGTACTAATTTTTTAGTCAGCTTCATATTAGGAACCTGTAAACTCCACTAATATTTTAGAACAAATATTGAATATAGATAGCTCTTTCACTTTCACTATTATTTCAATTATGCAGGACATTTATTTAGCATGACTAAGTCAAGTGCTGTGGGAGGTATAAAGATGGATAACATTTCTGACCTCAAGGAGTATATAAAAATAAATAAATATATAAAAATATATATATGTATATAAAAATAAGTATATATAAGTATATAAAAATAAATAAATAAAAATTTAAAAAAGTATTTAGTGGAAAGGAGGAGACAAAGTCAAAGTTTAGAGATGTTGCAAAGGTAGAATCTATGACTTTGTGACTGACCCAATATAAGAAAAGCCTTTATCTTTTTAAATTTTTATTTATTTATTTATTTTTATTTTTGGTTGCGCTGGGTCTTCGTTGCTGCGCAGGGGCTTTCTCTAGTTGCGGCGAGCGGGGGCTACTCTTCGTTGCAGTGCACTGGCTTCTTGTTGCACAGCACGGACTCTAGGTGTGCAGGCTTCATTAGTTGTGGCATGCGGGCTCAGTATTTGTAGCTGGTGGGCTCTAGAGCTCAGGCTCAGTAGTTGTGGCGCACGGGTTTATTTGCTCTGCAGCATGTGGGATCTTCCCGGACCAAGGCTCGAACCCGTGTCCCCTGCGATGATGTCAGGATTTCAACTTGGGCTGCTGAAAGAGTGATAGTGTCCTTAAAGGGCCACAGGGAAAAGATAACTTTTACTCTACATCATAAACACAGGGCACTGGGCTAGTGCTTTATTCGTGATCTCTCATATTTAAAGAAGATCCTTTGGTGGGATCATACTTTATACAAGAGCACTTGTTATTTACAATATTCTAGGATGAATCATGTTGTAATACTACCAAACCTTTCAAATATGGATTTACTTGAGCTTGCTTTATTTTTTTAATTAAAAAATTACCTAAGGTAACGTTTATATGCCTTCAAAAATTCTAACGATGCTATGGTTAACTATTCATTGAGTGAACAGTTCATTGACTACCAGCTCTTTACCAGGTACCATCTCCTCAGTGATTTGGTTGACTTTAATTCAAGGTTTCCTATCCATTTACAGGAAGTAGCTGCAAGGAGGAGGCTATTCCCAGGGCTTTGGTCTGTACACACTCCCCATACCTGAAATTTTATTGGAATTGTGGAAATGGGGCAGTGGTTTTACTTTTCACTCTGCCTTCAGTGGGGCTCCCTGGAAGAAGTGCTGTGCCAGTGACTGGTGTTTCTCCTGAATAAAGCATCTTGGCCTTAATGACCGCAGGTTTGGATCCTCTGGTTTCATCTAAATTATACCCTCTGATTGATTTAAGATGTTATTTTTCTTTCATTTATTTTAAACAGAACTACTGATCTTTGAAAAATTTAAATAGCATCTGTACGACAATTTGGAAGCGAAAGAAATATAATGTGTTATTTTCCAATAGGATCTATGACTAAGGCGGGGCAGCTATTATTAATTCTACGGTCTCTGAGTTCGAATGGAATCTCCCTTTGGCGTCTGCTCATTCTCTTTATTCTTTTTTTTTTGCGGTACACGGGCCTCTCACTGTTGTGGCCTCTCCCGTTGCAGAGCACAGGCTCAGCGGCCATGGCTCACAGGCCCAGCCGCTCTGCGGCACGTGGGATCCTCCCGAACCGGGGCACGAACCTGCGTCCCCTGTATCGGCAGGCGGATTCCCAACCACTGAGCCACCAGGGAAGCCCTGTTAATTTCTAATGGGTGAGTTCAGAAAGGCAGGACTGGGAATTTGTCAGTGCATTCACTGTATAGACGGGATAGCAAAAAACTTGCCTCCAACTGCTCCTGTGAACACGAACACATGGAAAACAAAAGGCTGTGGCTACCTCATGGATGGTGGTGTGGTCAAGAGGCGGACTGAGAGGTAGAACCCATGAAAGTTTCTGAGAGACCCATAGGGTCTTCCTGGAGCAGTTTTCCCATGCTACTGAAGAAAGTGGAAATCTGTGCTGCTCCCAGACCCTCCACTCCCCACCATTTCTAGCTGGATCAAGGATTCTATTGGTCTGGACACAGTTGAAATCATCGATATTGTTAGCAAATCATACTTTTCCACTACTGAGATAAGCAATGATTAATATTTTCATTCTGGATTATTTGGTAAAACCATCGAAAATGATTTCTACCTCCAAAAGAGAGGTTCATGAAGAAAAAAACTATAATTTTTAATAATTTTGATTGAACCCATTAGAATAGAATATCAGTATATTATTTCTGCCTTAGTTTGCCTTTTCTCATATACCATGTCTGTTTAATTAAAAATAAAATGGAGATTATTGTCTGAATAATTTCACAAAATTTCCCAGCTGACACAATTTTTAAAATGATGGAAAAAAAGATATGATATTCTAATATACCTGTCTCAATTTTCTTATTTTATGTGTAGACCCAATTTAATGGTCAACTATGGGAGAAGTATGCTCTGTGGATACTGCTCTGTGTCATGCTGCTACTGGCCTGCTAAATTGATAACTGACCCTTAGTCAACAATTTTGAATGAGATGATACTTTTAGTGAGTAGGAAATATCATTTAAGCTTGAGCCTGGTTGGAAGGATTTGACTCCCCTTTACTATACATCAGTTTTAAAATGTGACTTCAGTTAGTTTTGAAAATTGGTCTCATAGTTCTTCTCTTCTTAGAGACTCCTAGTTCAGCATTCTCTCTCTTTTTTAAATTAATTAATATTGGCTGCGCCAGGTCTTAGCTGCGGCATGTGGGATCTTTAGTTGCAGCATGTGGACTCTTAGTTGCGGCATGCACACAGGATCTAGCTCCCCGACCAGGGATTGAGCCTGGGTCCCCTGCATTGGGAGTGCGGAATCTTACTCCCTGGACCACCAGGGAAGTCCCCACCATTCTCTTTTAACTGATTTCCTGGTGCCACAATCTTCCATTTATTGAGATGGTTTCTCTAACTCATTGATTTCTTTTTACATTCTAACTGGATTTTTCATTTTTAACAACTCAATCCTTTTGAAATACAGGAATTGAAAAGAATTAAGGTCATGCACAATTGTGTTAATGGAAATCCTGTGAGTTGCCTCTTCTGTTGGTTTGAAGCTGAAGGCACATCTTCTGATAGCCTTGGATTCATGCTTCCAGGAAGGTCTATAAATCAGTGTAGTCCATCTTGCCTTGGATGTCAAGACAGGTGGATCCCATTTGCAAGATGTTCTTCTCTCTTTTTTTCCTCTCTAAGAAGGAAATAAAATATACAGGCCCATTAATCTGCAGAGGTCAGCTTCTTTGATAGGGCACATTCTTGGAAAATTTAAAGTTGCAGTTCGTTGTGTATGATATACAAAAAGGGGGCAAGATGCCCAGTCCTTTTCACTTTTAGCAATTATAAAGACCTAAGTATTAATGAAGCTTTAAGAATCATTTGTTGTGGGTTACCCTGAAATTTCAGGAAAAATGATGTATGTTTCTAAAGTTAATCCAGGGCTTCCCTGGTGATGCGTTGGTTAAGAATTCACCTGCCAATGCAGGGGACACGGATTCTATCCCTGCTCCGGGAAGATCCCACATGCTGGCGGGGCAACTAAGCTTGTGCACCACAACTACTGAGTCTGCGCTCTAGAGCCCGCGAGCCACGACTACTGAAGCCCGTGCGCCTAGAGCCTGTGCTCCGCAACAAAGAGAAGCCACCACAGTGAGAAGCCTGGGCACCACAATGAAGAGAAGTCCCTGCTCCCCGCAACTAGAGAAAGCCCACAACGAAGACCCAATGCAGCCAAAAATAAATAAATAATAAAGTTAATGCAGTGGGCTTAATTTGTCTTTAAAAATTGGGCATAGATATTAAGGCCTAAAATGAGACAAGCACAAAGATTTAGATGACAACACATGCTTTTATTTTTGTAAATGGGCATTTTGCATAAAAGCTGCATTTGATATACGTAATTGGAGTGAAATGTTGATATTCCATTCAATATGTTTAATATTTATATGTTCTTTTGAAGTATTTACAAATGGAGAGACCAAAAGGCAAAGCTAATGAACCGTGGACAGAACAATTTATTTTCTTAAAAATATTAACAACTACAGAACCAGGCTGAATTTTAAACAAACAATGATCCTCACATAGAAAAAAAATTTTAGCAATGAGCTAATTATTTCTTTCTGAATTATTTTTTTCTCATCAACTGTTTCTCAACATCTCTCTCTTTTAGAAGTTAAAATGTTAGTATGATGACTGAAGTGAGGAAAAGAGATTGGAGCTTAAGATAGTCACATGAGCAGAACTGTTCCTAATATTCTAAGCGGCAGAGTAAATATTGAATGAAGGGGTGGTGAGGTACTAGCTGCAGTCTGTTCTAACTGAATAGTCACAAGCACAGTAGCAGAGGAGAGAATACTCATTTTGGTATTCAGAGAAGAAAAACCAGTGCCTAATAGTTTTAGCTCACATTAACAGGTACATAAAACATAAAGTATGAACGTAGCATCATATAACGAAATCAGACTCATTATATATTCTTTATAAGTGCTTCCTAGATTTTTTTTTTCAAATTAAAAATTTTCAAGTGCACTTCTAAAAGTTTTTTGAGACCAGAGTGGTACACAGCTTGGTATGAATTCACAGCTGTTTGATATCTCAGCGCTCTCAAGGAACTCCACTAATTGGTTCCAAAGCCAATTTAAGTTGTCTTAACAAGCCACAGGAACTCAAAATGTTGACTGGACTAAGGCAGGTCGCATACAACTTCTATAAATCATGATACGAATTCTTTCTCAAGGGATTCTGGACAGCAATTTAGTAACTGTTAAAAGTTTAAGTACAGAGTTGTCAAGTGGAAACTAGCAGTTCTCTGAGGCGGGAATAGGAGAAAAAAGTGCCTGGAGTTTTGAAGAGTACCTCAAAAGGCATCAGGAACTATTCACACAAAGGGTAAGATTTTCATGTAGGGTATTTACAGGGATGTAACGTTTGCCAGAGGTGTTTCTGTGTTAGGGATTTTCAGGCGTTAGTCATAAATTATACTTTTTTTCTTCTCTAACTTCTCTTTCCTCAAATTGGGTTATATATATCCCATGAAATGTACGTTTTAAGTGGCATGGCTCAAATGTGGGTGTACAGGCTAATTCCAAGGAAAAAACAAGAGCGGATTTAGCAATGAACTACAGCGTACAGGGATGAAAGAATGTGACTGTAGCTTTTCCCCCAATGTACTTTTCCAGTAACAAAATGTTAGTGACAAGTAATTGTACTATAGGTTAGTACACAACAAATAGGAAGTGCATATATGTATTTAATAATACCTGAAAATAAAAATAAAGAAGGCAAATACAATTCAGATGATCTTGGGAATGCTACACAAGTAAATTATGAAGATGAGTGAGCAAAGTACTGGACAAAGTTTGAAATAAAAGGAAAGTTTTCCTTCATATTTCTCAACTCATAAGATTAAAGATTAAAATTTTTATTTCCCTATAAAACAAGCATAATAAATAGTTATCTCCCTGAGACAAAACGTTCCAAATGGGAGGGGTGGGGAGGTGGGGGGGAACAGCAGTATTTTAATACACGTTGCAATCTGAAATTGTGCTTGATCTTGCTGTATTTTATAGTTTTCCAATATGCTTTAAAGGTGGAAAATAGAGTTAAAGGGTTAGAAATGTTAAGTGGAAAAATCTGATTTTAATGATAGGCATCAGGGAACAGAAAAGAAACGAGCAGTCACACGCTGCCTTTATTATTCTTCATAAAGGTTATGGCTGGAGGACGCCGCCACATCAGAGTCTCTGTGGCGCAATCGGTTAGCGCGTTCGGCTGTTAACCGAAAGGTTGGTGGTTCGAGCCCACCCAGGGACGCTTACCCCTTTTACAGGCGGGTGCCCGGTAGTTTTGCATAAATCATGGAGTTGAGGCCTCCGGGCAACGCAGGCATGGATTTCGAGGGTCCGGAGAAGAGAAACCGCGGATCTCACTTCGCGGTCCAGCAGGGGGTGGCTCTCCAGCTTCCGGGCGCGCTGGGGCCCCTCCTCCAACCCCGGCGGCCGGGTGGGCGCTTCCTGCCGCCCCGAACAGGCGTGTGGGTCCAGCTCCTTAAGGCCCCCGCATCCTTTCTCTTCCACTCCCTGGGTTCCTAAACTCCGGCCCTCTTCCCCCTCGCTCTTTCCCGAAACCCCCGTCCCACAGCTCCCAGCCCCGCCTGGCCGGGCTCCCGCGGGCCCTGGTCAGGCAGCGGCGCCCAGATCGCGCAGAGGCCGGGCGGCCGCCGCGTTCCGGCCTCGAACTCGCCGCCCCGTCTCCAGGCGCGGCCCGAGCTGGCCTGGTTCTGCTTCAGGACCCCTGCGATGTCAGAGGTCGACTGAATGTATGTATTTAGTGTCAAGTTCAAGCTGTACGTTGACTTAAAACGCTCCAGGTTTTTTATCTGTTGGTTTTTTTTTTTTTTAAACTAATGTTGAATTGTGCAGCATTTCGTCTGTTCCCCGTCAGCGTAAACAAATATTCCCATACTTTAACTTAGACTAACCCTCGCATTGGTAAACTAAGCAATGTTTGTCATAAAGCCTTTGTGTGGACACTATTGTAAGAGCATTTGTATGTTATAGTTTACTTTTTCTACTAAAGTTTTAGAATTTAATAGAGAATAGAGTAAACCTGCAAAATGTCCCATATATTCAGAAAGGGAGAAAACTTTTTTACAACTGTATCATTGTTACACTTAAAAAAAACCCAAATTATGAGAAAGATTAAAGTGAAACTGCTAATATATTTTGCTTCGACATTCTATAAGCATATTACCATTTATTTCAGAAAAAATGCAAAACTCTCCAAAATCGTTACCTTGTACTTTGTTCTCTAAATATATGCTGCCTTGGTGACGTAATCAGTTTCACCATAATAATTAGTCTTGCCCATAGATTAATTTGAAAGACGGTTCTGGAGAAAAGTGGTATGTCTTATTCCTGCAAGTATGTAGTTATGCTCTGCTTTATGTTTTCCCCCACGTTAGCATATTAATAAAAGCTAACATTTTTTGAGTGCTTACTACTTGCTAGGCACGATTCTAAGTGCTTTCCTGGATGAAAGTGTGAGATCCGTGCAACAACTCTCCCAGGGAGGTCCTATTGTTTCCATTGTATTGGTGAGCCAACTGAGGCTCCGTGCAATTGAGTGATTTGCCTGGTCACAGTTAGTGCCTAGCACAGTGCAGATTTAAACTCGAGTTGTCAGGCTTCAGAGCCCATGCTTCTCACTCCTGTACTACCTACCCAGAAGTTCTCTCCTCTAAAATAGAGCTACTTGATTGATTCGTTAATTTAAAACCAAAGGTGATACTTTAATTGGTTTTTCTGAAGTGTCATTAATATTTTGTTCCAAATCTCACGAAGGAAAGAAAAAACCCCACTGAACATTCATGGAATACGAAAGGGCATTAAGTCATGTGCCGCTTCATTTTATTGAAATGAAAACTGTGTGGGAACATGAAATCTTCATGTGGAACATGTCTTTGGAAAACAGTTTGATAGCATTTGTGTAGAGAAGACAAGATTAGAAATAAAGGCAGGTTGGAATAGCCCAGAGAAAATATGGAAGAGAAAGAGAAAGAAGAATTGGTTCAAGCCAAGCAATGGGGGCTTATCTGGTGTCTAGGGATTCTTGGACCCCAGGCTGATGTTTGGCAGTTGGGGAGCCCAGACAGACCCCTATTTTAGGACCCCTTTGTGAGAGAATACCAGTATCTGCACTTGACAGATGCCTAGGTGGTAGTTTTAAACTTGATCCTAAATTTCTAAGTATGTTCTACTTCACCCTATTTGGGAGATTAATGGGATTTAGAGGCCAGAACATAAAGAGAGAGGATTACATGAGAATGGAGGTGGGATGAGGGCTGCAAAACCACCCTCTAATGTAAGTAGTTGATTTTATTATGTGGGCAGGTACTTAGTGAACTTCTTCATGCTAGGCTGTTGCATACAGATAAGATAGGTGGGAAACATTTTTTTTTAATTGCTTAATTATTTATGGGTGTGTTGGCTTTGTACAATGTGTATTGGGTATAGATGTTGTAATAAATGCTATTTCTGGGGAGCGTTACTTTGTTCCTAGTTTCTTGGGTCTGTAGTACCAACCAAGCCCAGAATATGTTGAGATCATTTAGGACATTAGTTAAAGGCTGAAGAGCATTTAAAAGGCTTTGCTGAGCATCTGAGCATGTAAATATGTTCCTGATAAACATTTGTATACTTAAACTTCATATATAAAATCAGAGGGAAACTCACTGAAGTAATGCAGTAAAAGGTGAATCAAGTGCTGTGGTTTATGCAAACTTGTTAGAGAAGGTAATAGTCATGTGATTTAAAATAATTAATAATTTAAAGTGTTTTTTATATTGTAGCATTTCTTTAGATAATGGAGGTTGGGAGGAGACCACATGGCTAATACGTTTCTGTGTTCATTTGTTAACACCTGTATCTGATGTCATATGATACAAGGTTTAGGGGGAATAAGACGTTAAGCTGCCAGAGAAACACAACTACCTTTTTTCTGCATTCATAATATATCCTAATGAGTAATGCCAACATGAATTTTAATTTTATTTCTCTGAATTTTGGTGGAGTGATGCCTGAAATGTTCAACTTACTGCTATAACCAGCAGAGCAGGGATAAATTGGTGGTAGAAGAAGCCATAATGCATTTAACTAGAAAATAGTTTAAGAAGTTGAAACCTTTTAAATAATTAAGAATGCTAATTTTATCAGCTGCAGCACTTCATTTAAAGTGCTTCATGTTGAGCCCCTTTGGTGGTGTCCATGCAGTCTGTGTTTTTGCATATTGAAAATTGTGTGTGTGTTATTTTACATGTATTTGTGGTTTTTAAAATTAATTTTTATTGGAGTATAGTTGATTTAAAATGTGTTTCTGCTGTACAGCAAAGTGAGTCAGTTATACATATATCCACTCTTTTTAAAATAATTGTTGAACTTACAAGAATGATGTGAGAATAAACTATATCTGTAAAATCGTGGTACACAGCTCAGTTTTAAATTGTTTTCATAGCTTAAATTTTTAAGAGAAGCCACTCGAATTTTCATTGTTCAGTATTTAAACTACAAAATGTAGAGACTCATATCCTTAAGAAAACTCTTAAAATATAATTTTAAAAGAAACACTTTATTAAGCTTAAATACATACCGAAATGTGCACAAATCATTAGGAGTACAACTGAAGAAATTTTTACAAAATAAACACACCTTTGTAATCAATATCTTGGTCAATATGTAAAATAATGTTAGCATCCCAGAAACCTCCTCTTGTGTTTATCCCAGTCACCAAAATGTAACTTTTAAATTGTAAACATATGGATTATTAGGTTGAAATGTGAATTTTAAGTTGTCATAGATCAGGACTCAAAAATAAATTTGCTACCAAACCCTATCAGATAAGTATTTACACATAAAGATTGGGAAAAATAATGGAAATGAGAAATCAGTTTTCCATGCCTACTCACTTTTGACTTAATCATCTATGATAGACTTGGGAAGAATAAATTTGTGCTATTAAGCCAGAAAATATGAGAAATTTACTATTTATTTGAAGTGTTTACTTTTGTCTATAAGTAAATAAAATGCACTTCTACCCCCACCCATTAAAAAACATTAAACAAAAACAACCTTCTAGAAATTTTGGCATTAAAATTAATTTTTTAGTTTTGAAAATACATTTTAAACTTTAAAACCAAGGTGAGATTTGAGATCAAAAGGTATAGTAAGAGATGATGACTCCTTGGTTTCCCAAATAATATATTCTAAAATCTTAAGAATTTTAATCTGGAGTCCACCATTGGAGGAACACAAATAGTGGTCCTGTTATTTTGAAAGTATGTATAACTATAAAGGAAAATCTAATCTCTGTGATAAAAAGCTATGTTTAAAGTTGTGGAAAGTCGGTTTTGAATACCACTGAGGAAAGCCATTCTAGAAAGAGTCAACATATAAGAATCTAGAGCAAAGTTTTTACTTTCTTCTAGCAAAATTCTTCATTGTTATTATTAAAGTAGTGTATGCCTAAGGTTATAATAATAAGTATATGTACAAGTTTAAGTACAGTGATGTTTACTGTAACATTATTTATAATAGTGAGAAATTACAAACAAGATAAAATATGCAACACTAGTGGAAATGGTGAAATAAACTATGGTATGTTATTTAAACATTGGAATACTATACAGCCATTTACAAAATGTGTTTCAGGAAAAAAAGTCTTTGGACAATGTTAAAATATTGCATTAGGTATAAGAAGCTAGATTCAAAACTATCAAAAAGCATGATCCCAATTTTGTAATGAGACTGAATTACTTACATAGATGATCTACAAATATTTCTTGATGGTGAATACCATCAAGAAATATTTATAGATCTATACCAAAATAAGATTACACCAAAATAAGAATACACCAAAATAAGATTATCAGTGATTTTTGTCTTTTTTATACTTTACTTTCTATAAGTAAGTTCTTTATTATCTGTAATGAACATGTATTATTTTTATTTGTTAAATAACATTTTTTATAACATAAAAATAATACCTGAACTCATACTGTATATAAAATTTTGAAAATTTTTTCTCTCTTAAAATTAACATTGAGGGAGAATAGGGAACTCAGATATAAGCCTTTGTGGGTATGGTCAATGATTCTTAACGAGTGCCCAGACCGTTTAATGTGGAAAAGACAGTCTTTTCAATAAATGGTGTGAAGAAAACTGGATATCCACATGCAAAAGAATGAAGTTGGGCCCCTACTTTACACCACATATAAAAATCAACTCAAAGTAAATCAGAATACCTAAGTGTAAGAGCTAAAATTATACAACTCTTAGAAGAACACATAGGGGGAAAGCTTCATGACACTGGATGTGGTTATATTTCTTGGATGTGACACCAAAAGCACAAACAACAAGAATGAAAATAGATTAATTGAACTACATCAGAATTGAAACCTTCTTTGCAAACAAAGGGCACTGTCAGTAGAGTGAAAAGGCAGCCCACAGAATGGAACAAAATATTTGCAAATAATATATCTGATAAAGATTTAATACCATATATATATATATATATATATATATATATAGAATATATACAGAACTCCTACACCTCAACCACTACAAAAAACAAAAAAAAAATTTAAAAATGGACAAAGGATTTGAGTAGAAATTTCTTTAAAGAAGACATACAAACAGCCAATAAGTGCATGAGAAAAAGCTCAACATCACTAACCATTAGGGAAATGCAAATGAAAACCACAATAGATATTACCTCATATACATGAGGTTGGCTATCCTGAAAGACAACAACAACAAGCAGAAA